GAGAGGGAGGAGGTCACTGTTCTCTCGTCCTCTCATCTTCTCTATGCTTTGATGCACAAATCCCCCTTCTCTCCCTTACTTTTTCCTCTCTTATCCTCCCATCATCTCCTCCTCACACACACTCCTATTTTTTGAAAACTAGCAAATTTTATGTTGGAATTTCTTTGTCCCTCTATGGCTGTAAGTGGAGGTACACTTTGTGCGCCTTATGTTGTTGCCGGCAGTATCCTCGCGTTTTTGTATTTGTAATAACCTTGTGTGGTTATATGTATTTGTATTGGCTCTTGTGCATAACGGCTTTGTGCATAAATTTATAAATGCAATATATCGTCTTTATCTGTATATAAAAAAATCAAGAGTATATCACATACTTAATTTCTAGATTAATTAATAGATAATTAACATCAGCAGCGTCGTATAATACAATTCGCGTGCTTATTCAATTATTTTGCTAATTAAAGCTGGTTTTAATAATAAATAGCTGATAATAATTATAAGAAGAAGTATAATAAAATCCACTTGGGAATAGTTGAACTGTAAACTTGAGAGCAGTATTGGGACACATGAAGCATACAGCAACTTATGTTGTAGTTATATAGTCACAAGGACATGCAATGTGCTTGGAAGATTCTCAAAGTACAATACAAGTGAGTTATTACTTATTATGATACATCCATTTGTTAATCATGTAATTAAAAATAGAAATGGAAATGGCATATATATATATATATATATATAGTAGCTACTAGCTAGCCAGAGCTAGCCAGATGGTTTATCGTGCCATGTTCTTCAACTTGAAAATTAAATAAGGTAACCCTATCCAGGTGGTAGAATCAATATACGTAACCCTAGCTAGCTACTCATAAATATTAAATCATATGTAGATCTATTTATATATTTATATTCAAAGTAAGGTTTCCAAGATCTTTCCTACCACTAGTACTATATGTTTATATATCACCATAAGTAGAATTCTGCACTTGGACCAGTTATTTTAATTTCACGAAGCCTAATTTGACTTTTTCATAATTAATCCTGTTTGATCTACATACCAATTAGCATTTCTCCATATCTTGTGTGTGCGTGTGTATGTCACTGTGCTATCACGTGACACACGTCTCTAGATCAATATTTTCAATTTCTTTCTTATTATTTTCTTCTTTTGTTTAGGAAAAGAAAAAAAAAAGTCATGAAATATTTGTATTGTATAGTTGGAAATTCCGACAATATATAAAGTTGTTTTAGACAAAAGCTCGTTGAAATGAAGTAAAGCCGACCTTATCCCAAACTTCTTTTGGAGAAATTTTTGCATGTTTCATATACATTTTCACATGGAAATTCAAAACTTGTTTATCCAGTGCAAGGATTCAGATGGGGAATATTCCCTTCCAATCAAAGTTCAATGCTACATAATGTTGAGGAATGACGGACGTTATTTTCTAATAGTTTAGAATGTTCCAAAGTAACTTCTCTTTTGATCTTTTTGTTCTTTTGATGAAATTAAAAAGTAAATATATTTTCCTTTATTTGTGTCTTTGTGAGTGTTGGTGGGGTGGCGGTGGGGTATATTGATGTGTTTACATGCAATAAAGAGAGAGAGAGACCTTTTGGGCCGTGAATGGCTCCTTTATTTCTTCATTATTGACTACGTACTTTCTATTGAATTCGATTCTCTCTTTTGAGGAATGAGTTACATTCACAAACAAAAATGTAAACATGAAACGTGTTGTATATATGAATATGCTCTCCTACTCCATTTCAATTTATATTTATATTCTCTTTTGATTTTCTCTTTTGCTTTCCTAGAGATAAAATATGTTTCATTAAGAAGAAAAAAGGCATACGAAACTTGTACACACTACTCAAAAGCTCTAATCCAATTGAGAGAGGTTTCCCACCACAACCACATCTAATCTGGGTCATAACCACGTGTTTTAGTTGCAGTGGGGTTTAGGTCCTAATAAAAGCATATTAAAAATCCGTTCTAACTTTGAGGGTGGGGTGCTGGTTTCTCCAATCAAACCCATTAAAATGTTCTCAACCTTACCTGCCTTGTTAAGCATATATGTCACCATTATATATCTACGTGTCTCTTGTAAAAATTATTAATTGACTAAACGGGTCAGGTTTGATTTGTTCATTTCTATATGGTTTTTTAATTTGATTCCATAAAGGGAAGTTTTGTCCTTCACTAACAACTTAACAACTTAACAACTTGACAACTAGGTTAGTTGGACGTTGGAAGACTCATCTCATTAATACTAATTTGACTGACCACTGATCTGGGAAGCTAGCCCTAGTATAGCTAGCGTGACAAGAATAAAACGACTCCTCCAATATAATCCAATATAAAAAAGAAAATAAAGGAAACGATTCATGCATTTGGAATCTATTTGGGTCAGGTTATATATATCTGTTTGTATGTTTGACCTTTTTCAGTCTAATCTGTTTCGTTTCATGGCTTCTTTTAGTTGGCAAGTCAGATCAGAGAGACTAATACATGACGATCAGTTGTCGACCGCCGAATTCTATGACTAAGTAAGTAAACCAGACCACGTGGCATGCCATTGCCAATGAAAACACTACTTGTTCTTCTTCTATTCAAGATATGCCATGCACGCTAGTAATAGGGGGTCGATTGTTAAATATAGTTTAACCCATAATTTATAGATTTGTAAAGAAAACTGTGAATAATATAATCGCCATGATGAATTACTACACATTCACCACACCAACATGCGTCATAGATGACTACATGATGACCAATATTTATCAATTATTACTTTCTTCCTGCCTGGGGTTTGCTGCTCAAATTCCTTCATATATATCTATTGTATATACTAGTTTCTTCTCAAGCGCTTCCGCACCTACATGAGGTTTTTTTAAACAAATTTTAAATTTATTTTAAAATCAAAAAAAGATAATGGGTAGTTGTGTTCCATAAAAAGAGGATCCATTATTTGATTTTTCTTTTAATTTTAAATTTTTTTAATATGAAAAAGTTTGAATTTACCATATTATGCTCATTTAATTAATAATTTCAATTCTTAATTTTTGCATTAACCAAGGACATTTTCTGGTATTTTGAATGTTTCACCATTCGCTGCCTTTTGCTTTATATATACTAGCCTCTTCGCACGTGCTTCCGCACTTGTGAGAGGCTTTTTTTAAAAAAAAAATTTCAATTTATTTTAGAATTAAAAAGATAATAGGTAGTTGTGTTCCATATTATCATATTTTTCTTTTAATTTTAATTTTTTAATATGAAAAAGTATGAATTTACCATATTATCCTTATTTAATTAATATTTTTAATTCTTAATGTTTGGATTAACCAAGGGCATTTTCTGGTGGTTTGAATGTTTCACCATTCTCTGCCTTTTGCTTTATATATATATAATATATATATATATATATATATATATATATATATATATATATATATATATATATATATATATATATATATATATATATATATATATATATATATATATATATATATATATATATATATGGACTCCTTCTGATAAAAATAATATTGTTCATGCCAAGTTCTAAATTTGTTTAATGCGTTCCTTGTTCTGATAAAAATAATATTGTTCGTGGAAAATACTTGTATTTAATAATCAAAGCAACGGCCCCATCATCATCATCCATCAATCCAAATCTTTACTGGATTAGGTCAGGCTCAACCGTAGTAGGTAGAAATTTTCTGAAAAAAACTACCACGACCCCAATTATATACATATAGTTCATCCCATTATGCCGCCATGTATGGTTTAATGGAAATTAAATCGCAGCAGCTATTTTTGTAGACCAAATAAATATATATTTGGAAAATATAATATTTCGGATAAATGTTTGAGTGAGAAATGGTGGTATGACTATGAACTCAACTCAATACGTGGATATCAAACATTCCAATTTCCAAGCAATGAGGCAAAGCAGAGTCAGCAAGAGATCAACTAATCCTGTTTCATCTCCAAATTATAAAAAGTAAGAGAGAGATTGGATTTGAATTTTGTGAAAGAAGAGAAGAGCAATAATGGGTCCCCAAATTCCCCACCACCCGACCATTACAAGCTGTGACTGCGGTGCACTCGTGCGCTTGGTTCCTTCTGAATCTGATTAACTTCAATTTTATCGCGCACATCTTCTTCGCAGGACATATATGACTTCAAATGTGTACGAGTTTTTCGTGCTAACTTTATAGAAATTCAATTCAATGGCTGAGATTTACTACCACACTCAATTTTAATGCTATTATTAATTCTTTTTGCACACTTTGTTTTCTTGTTCATCATCCGCCTATACAGCCACAGGGACAATATTGAATGGAAGATGATATTACCAATAAAATAATCAGATGCATGAATACATAACAAGAGGTTAAGAAGTCATGACAAACATGTTTTTTTTTTTTTTGCCAATAATCATGACTCATGACAAACATGTTTTTTTTTTTTTTGCCAATAATCATGACTCATGACAAACATGTTGGGAATGGGTACTTTTGTTCTTAAAGTTAATTTTTTCGCCATCTAGGGACGTGGTGAATAGTTAATAAAATGAGTATGCAAAGGGCTTATAGCTCAAGTGATTAAAAGCATTTTACCTATGTACCCGAGGTCTTAGGTTTGATTCTCTCCTCACCCAATATTACTTATACCAAAAATAAAATAAAAAAGTTTTGGGTGTCTTTTGTATTTTCATTTCAATAATAAAAGAAAGAAAACACTTACAACATCAAGGACAAAAATGTCTTTTACCACGGTAAGAGGACTATAACTATCGGGACCCGCCTTGGGCCATTCATAACGCCGACTCTTCGGCCTCATTCTATCTATTGTGATTTTCTAATCAAGACCCAGGGGATAGGGTTTCTCAGGAAAATTAGGGCCCAAGGTTAAGATTTCTCTAGAAAATCAAGGCCCAGGACTAGGGTTTCAATGGAAAACTAAGGCCCGGGTTTATGATTTCCTAGAGAAAATTTTGCTTGTGTAATTTTCTGGGAATTCATTTCTACATTCGCGCCATCCGATTTTCTCGAGAGACAGATCGATGATTAGTATTTCTCAGAAATACAGCAACTGTATCGATGCTAGCTTCCTGATAGTTACCAGCATCGTTTGGCTTTAGGGCTTTTCGATGGCAGAGGAGAACGAAGCGGCTTCGCGGGACACTGTCAATGGCGACAATGCACGAGCTCTCCACGACGTCGTCAATGGGGGTGAGCACCGTTACCCAATTTTTTTGTTCGCACATTTTTCCTGTATTAATTCTATAGTTTTGTATTTAGATCGCAAGAGGATATGTATTTGCTTAGGGTGACGACGCTAATGGCGAGAATGTACGAGATAGGGTGAGCATCTGTGCCCTAATGTTCTGTTCACACCTTTTTATTGTATTAATTCTAGGGCTCCTTTGCATTATAGAAGAACGCTTAGGGTTTCACTACACGCATGATTGGCTCCAAATCTAATAGTTGTAGAAATAATAGCATTCAAATAATATATTAAGTTTATGGAGTGGAGTCGAATTAGGGTTCTTCAGTGCCCTAGATGCATTTTGCAAAGATTTGGGATCACAGAGAGCATAGAGCTTGCTTCTGATTACCAACTTCTTATCCTTCCTTATTGTGAGTACAAGAAATTGGTGGTGAAAAAGGAGAGCACTAATGAGATTTCTGTTTATATTTCCAACTTTATCTATTACTATTAGTTAAATCTTCTCGATCCAGAGTGGAAAAATATGGGAAAAAAGAGAAAAACCGGTTTTACATTATCTACATCTCTCAAGTATAGTGGAATTTCTGCTGAGTCCAAATTTAAGTTTCTCTGAGCTCATTGTACAAACCATGTATTTTGTGAAGAGGTTTTGATTTTGCATTTTCTTTTGTAGCTTGTGTATGAAAAGGAAGTATGAATCTGGACTTTGGTTTCAAGGAAAATCACTTTCTTTCTGCGAATGATGCTCCAAAAATTTCTCATACAGGCGCGTTTATTTTATACTACCACCACTTCTTCCTTTTTCTTTACAACGTGTAGAATAATCTTATGTCTGGCTGGTCTTTAAGTGAGCTGCCTTATTATATCTTCTCTACCTATGCCTCTCTCAATCTATTTCTCTTTCTCTCTATCTCTCTCTCTCTCACACACACACACATACAGACATTGACATTTCAATACATATAGGACTTTGTAAATATTTATTCAATTTGTCATTTAACATTAAACCATACCATTATTTATATAGGTCTTATTAACTCTGCTTCCCTTAAGCATTTCATTCAACTTCCTAGAGTTTGTTAGGGGCAACTGAAAGAACCTTTTAGGTTTGAGTTATTCAAATAGGTCCTATCTTATTCCCTTATTTTTTATCTTTTAATTTTTTTAACTGTGACTATGGGCAATTTGCCACCCATGGGTACCAACCTACCACCACCTAATAGGTATCGATTTGGGGCAACATCCCTACCTGTTTTACAAGTGATGCCACAACACAGGGACAAGTATGATTTGATGGAAGTGTAACTTCCAAAATTCATACGAATGACAAAAAACACTGGTCTCTTTGCATTGCAGGCCCCAAAATATAGAAAGGAATTCTTCATGGGGTCTTGGACACACCCAATCTGGGTTTGATTTACTTTTAATGATCTTGAACTTTCTCCTATCACAAATTATGTTGAACCATCTATATGATAAAATTTTACCATATGGACAATAATGTTGACTTTTGTGATCCGTATCTGTGCTCTTCTTTTGTGTGTCTGTGAATGCTCAAACATCCAGTTTCATATGTGACACATATCAAACCTTAGTTGATTGCGTAACATGAATTTATAGTAATATATTTTATTCATTTCCTTATATGATTTTGATTAGTCATGGGTGATGAGAAGACTGTCTTTTGCAGCACTGGATTAATTCTTAGTTGTGTAGCAGAGTCACTGCACCGTGATGTAATAGATGTCAAAACTTGTAAACTGACTTTGTCCTTGTTGGTATATTTTAGTTGCCAAACTGACTTTGTCCTTGTTTTTTGAAAATGTATTACTCAGTTTTTTAAAAACGTATAGCCGCCCGGCTATACTAGGTCACACGTGGGCCACTAGGCTGTTCTGTGTTTTTAAGTAAAGTGTACAGCCGTTCGGCTATACTCGATTTTTTTTCTAATTTTTTTTAAAAATAGTATACCCGGTTGGCTTTACAGGTTTTGTTTTAAAAATTGTCTTTAATAAATTGTATAGACTAGCGGGTATAGTCTTTTACATATATATATATATACATACATACGTATGTATGTATTTCTCAATAATACATTCATGTTCTACACACGTCTCACTTTTTTAAAAAGCAAACATACAATAATCATATTGTCACATGTACGTACGTATTTCTAATGTTTAATACATGTATTTTTTACAAAATTTTCACTAAGACACAAAATTCACGTATTATACAAATAATTCTCACATATTATTGAATAAGAATCACATATATTATAAAATATATATTAAAATATTATATAGTGGAAGATTTATCTACTTTGGATATGTTGAAACTAGCAAATTAATATCTATAAAGTATAAACTAATGCAACTAGGAGGGCCCTTTTCACTTTTTTTTTTTTTTTAATATTAAATAATACAGCCGTGCGGCTATACCTTTTCATATGGCGCCTAATTGCTAGAGGGTTTTTTTTTTTATATAAAAAAAAAAGTACAGCCGCAAGACTATACTCCGTGTTTTTATTTATTTTTAAAAGACTTGTTTTGACACATGTGCCTAATCCACACGGCTACGCTATTTTTCACGTGATTTTTGCGACAATGTTGGCTCAATTATAGGCCATCAGGACAAGCTCGGCCCATTATCAACATAATGGTCCCACTGATAGGCCCATTACAGGAAAAAGGATCCCCTGAAATGCTCATGAACTACAACGTAGGCCCATATACAACAAAATAAGTCCATTGAAGGCAATAAACGATGAAATAGGCCCATTGAAGGGTCCATTAACGCCAAAACAGGCCCACTAAATACTCAAAAACGACAAAATACGCCCAATAAAGGCCCATAACTGACAAATTAGGCACAATGAACATACAATAACCCAGTGAACTACAAAATAGCCCATAAAAGACAAAATAGGCACAATAAGATGTCATAAAACGACAAACTAGTCCCAATAAAAGGCCAGAAAATGACTAAAGAGGCCCTAAAATGCCAGTAAACCCAAAAGAGGCCTAGTAAAGATCTGAAAACGACTAAATAGGCCCAATGAAATGCCAGAAACGACAAAAAAGGCCCAACCAATTGTTCATATAAGACAAAAAGACCCAATTAAAGGCTGGAAAACGACAAAGCAAGCCCAGTAAGCTTGAAAACGACAAAACAGGCCCAATGAAAGGCCAGAAAATGACAAAACAGGCCCAACTAGTGTCCGATAAACGACAAAATAGGCCTAATGTTCAGTAAACGACAAAACAGGCAATACTAAGTTCGCATAGGCTTTTTGTCGTTTATGGGTATCTATTGGGCCTATTTTGTCGTTCATGTGCTATCATGTGGGCCCTTTTGGTCGTTTTCTAACTTTTCCTTGGGTCTATTTTGTCGTTTTCTGGCCTTTCATTGAACTTATTTGTCGTTTTATGAGCTTTGCAGTGGGGTTACTTTGTCGGTTTGAAAACTTCATTCGGCCTGTTTTGTCATTCGGGAGTGGTCCCATTATGTTGTTTATTGACTCTTCAGTGGGCCCATTTCGTGAATGAGCGACTCTGTTAATGGGCTTCATACAGGGCCGACTTTATGGTTAAGTAACCTCCCAGTGGCCAACCGTCCATTGGCTAGCCTCTAATTTTAGCGTTAAGGCGCCATAACACCTTAAAGGAATGGACCCAGTAAGTACATTTCCACCCAACTATGGCCCCAAAATTTCCGTCACCTTGTTTGGACCCAAAAAATTCATTAAGGTAATTCTTGAGGCCACCTATTTGTCTTCCGCTGCCAATAGGAATTGTGACCACTAAAAGCACACGAGATGATAATGGGCCTAGCACATACATGTTCAAGGGTAGCAAAAACACGGCCCATCAAGTAAAAAGCACTAAACAAAAATTGACTCAACCCAATTTTATGGAAAGAAAATAAACAGACCAACCGAAGCTTTTATCATGGCAACCAGCTATTACAAATTAAAAAATTTGACTCAGTACATTATCGCGATTACAATTATAAAAAATAAATTACTCACGCACTCAATACTCGAATCTCACCTGTTACGACAATTTGGGGTTGTCCCACTTATACAATCTGCTCTCCACCGACCAATACTTTGCCGAGTCGCCACTCAATGGCGCTTATAGTGTAACAGAAACACAACTAATCGAAAAATAATTTATGCCGCCATTTTGACATCCGAGTATATAGTACAACAATTTCAGCACAAGCAGAAGAAACTCACTCTACTTGTGGCCATACCCAGGCTGGGTTGGAGGTGGCCTCCTATGGCCTCTTCTGTCCAATCCGGAGTACTGGTTTCCAGACTGTTGAGGGCGGCCATACCCTCTGCCCGGGTTCTGGCTAACCTGTGGAACCCAGCCATCAAAACCTTGAGCAGGTGGTCCAGATGGTTGGTAATTCTGATAGTTGTTATACCCACCTTGATAAGGAACAGGAGTGACCCCTGGTGGAGCTTGTGGAATAGGTCTCTGAGGGTAGATTGGTCCTCCACTCTGATGATTTCCTGATTGGTGGTATCCAGGCCCAGAACTCCTTTCATAATGTTGAGTATGAGAGCTATTCTGATGATGGTGGGCAGCTGATGAAGAATGTTGATCATTATATCCAGGGTCACCATGTCTTGGGATGGCATTAACATTGGAAGCTCGGTGTTGAGCTTGAGGATGGTGGATTGTTCTAGGTGGTGGCATTCTACTGTGTCCCTGTGCATAGCTTCCGTTATTGGTGTAGGAATGGTGTGGTGGGTAATTCCGAGGCCCGACATAAGATGGTCGAAGGGCATGCATCTGATTGCCATACCCATTGGAGTCTACCTTAGCCTGTAAGCTATTAACAATAAGGCGATGTGCTGCTTCCTCGAGATGTCTTCCAGAAATGCTTCCAGGAGGGTTCTGCCTGAAAAGGAAAGCAAAAATCCATAATTGTAGAAGATAAATTGCTGGGTAGGAGGAGAGGTGTTGCCTTGTATCAACGGGATAATGGAGCAGGGTCTACCTGGCATTGTCAAATGGCCTTCTGGCATTTTCAAATGGCGGCCTTCTGGCATTTTCAAATGGCCTTCTGGCATTTTCAAATGGCTTTCGCCCAGACTCTTCATGCCACAAAACAGGTGCAGGCTTCAAATCCCCCACTGACACAATCTGAAAATAACTTGATGTAAATTGATATGCTAGAATGAGAACCATCATCAAACTAGTGGAGCTACATTCTCCATAAAGAAAGAAAAGTCAACACCTATAACCCTTGTTCTTTTCATTGCTAATCACTGTACTCTCAAACTCCCTAAATATTGATGTATATGATCATATGATTATTATCCTAAATCCAACCATAAGTAACAAAGTGAAATGCTTAAAAGAGAATCCTAAAATGCGAGAAGCAGTATTGTTCAAGCCGGTTTGTCATCAGCTACATTTGTATTGTTACTTTGATTACTTTATTGTTACTTGAGATTACAGTAATAGCCAAGTCATGTAAATGCATTACCAAACACACAAAGCAACAATCACCACTCATATGTATATCATATAACAAAATTCTGATTGAAAAGCATCTTAAGATAAATATAAACAAGATTTACCTTCTTAGGAAATATAACACCTGCAGGTGGTCGAGTTATATGCTTATGCCCATCTGGTAGTCTGTATATCGCACATCTGAACATAAAGGGAAAACATTACATTTCGGAAATGCACGATCGCTTCAATATAAAAACACTTCTATTGAATGAAGCCACTTTTTTATATTAATAAATGGAGCTTAGAGGATGAGAAAACTAGGGAAATCTTTATAGGTAAGTCCACAAAATATAGCAAATAAACTTTTCATTTTAAAAACATACATTACTTGGTTGTCCA